GTGGCGATACCCGCCCACCTTCCCCACGCTTATCCAGCATCTCCTCGTGGCGCTTAGGCTGAACCCAAGGGAGATCTAGGGCACAAAAGAGCAAGAGACTGTTCTACACAGAAAAAAGAATGGAGATGAGGGCTCTCCCGCCCATGTGGGATGAGCCGAGACTTGTCACAAAGCCACTCAGGGCGCAGCACGGGCCTGGCAGAGAGCTGATGCTTTAGAAGAGACTACTTCAACAGGAGCTCCAAAGAGCTGGGAGTAAATCTCGCCGTGCGGAGATGACTGCAGTGGGGAGCAGTGGCTAAAATTTGCTCCTACTTCAGGGCACGGGTGTATGGAAAAGGCTGGTATGGAGTTTCTGCAGCAAAGTGACTGACAAACACCAGGCAGAGAGCTTTAGCTGGTGCTAGAGGTGTGTGCAGAGACTCCTGCAGCTTTGTGGTAATCTGTACCTTTAGGTCTTTTTCACCAGCAGTTAATTCTGGGCACATATTCTTCCTAAATTACGTATCAAACACAGGCAACAGAAAGAAATCTTCTCGTTTCAGTTACCTGCAACGCAGGGCAGAAATTGGAGGTGTCGTTTGGGTTGTTGTAATCGTACTTGCCGATCTCATCTTCGTGATTCAACGAGCTTCTTGGCTCAGACGTCCTGCAGAGCTACGGGGATGAGACCAGGGGTCAGGAAAGGAAAAACCTCTAAATAATTCTCCAAGCCTTGCCTGCACCTTCTCTCATCACACGTTTGGGGACGAGCAGGTTTGTGTGCACGGAATTAGAGAGGTGATTCTCCCCCTTTGCTCTGCTCTGGTGAGACCCGGCGCCCAGTTCTGGTGCCCCCACCATAAGAGGGACATGGATCTGTTGGAGCGTGTTCAGAGGAGGCCACAAGGATGATCCAGGGGCTGGAGCAGCTCTGCTCCGAGGACAGGCTGCGGGAGCTGGGATTGTTCAGTCTGGAAAAGAGAAGACTTCGGGGGGACCTAATAGCTGCCTTCCAGTACCTGAAGGGAACCTACAGGAAGGCTGGGGAGGGACTTTTTACAAGAGTGTCCAGCGATAGGACAAGGGGAAATGGGTTTAAGTTGAAGGAGAACAGATTTAGATTGGACCTTAGGAAGAAATTCTTCAGTCCGAGTGCGGCAAGACTTTGTGATAAATTGCCCAGAGATGTTGTGGCTGCCCCCTCCCTGGAGGTGTTCAAAGCCAGGTTGGACGGAGCCTTGAGTAGCCTGATCTAGTTGAGAGGCGTCCCTGCCCGTGACAGGGAGCTTGGACTAGATGATCTCTAAGGTCCCTTCCAGCCTGGGCCATTCTAGGATTCCATGAATTGTCACCGACGGGCTTTTAGAGAAGCCTCTTACCTTAATAGCTGGTTTGAGGAAGAGCTGGAGGATGTTGCTAGGGTCGTAGTTGAAGTCTGCGGGAAGCGTGGTGCTCCTTAGGTTCTGACTTTCCAGGATGGATTTGGCTAGAGTCACAGATGCCTGAGGAAGACAAATACCATCACTTGCGAGCTATCTGCTGCTTGGGAGGTCAATGCATAAAGAAGTGCTTTGAACACAGGTCTTCATCTGAAAAGGAGGCAAGTCCTGAGATGCCTCCAAAGAAGAGTTCCTTGCTGGAACCCCTCAGGGTCTCCTCAACTGCCGGGGTGGGTATAAATCTGGCCTGATTTTGCACCCCAAGGTCAGTAAAACTCCTCGCTTGTGACTCGGAAGACTCCACACCAAGGAACACGTGTGACGTTGGGTTTATGGAGCCAGTTTCGCAGGAGCGTGAGGCGAGCTGCTTGAGGGTGACGGTTCCAAGGCACGCCCATGTAGCAGGAGAGCGAGCAGAAAGTGGCAGAAACTCACCACGTACCTTGGTCTTACGGAAATGCACCTCAAAGTCAATGTCTTCATCAAAGTTCAGTTCGAATGCTTTCTTTGCGTTCCTTTTCCTGCTCTCTCTTTCAGAGTCCGCATCCGCTGCAGAAAGGAAGGAAGCATCAGTGCTTTGTGACCAAGTAAGGACAAGCAGGTCACTCCTAACTTGAGCATCTGCTTCACGCAGAAAGGTCATCTACAAGGACTTTTCTCTTTGTTGCAGAAAAGCAACAGGTGTTGTTCTCAGCTTCGCATTTTAAAGGGATCAGTATCTTTTTATAGAAGCAGAAAGCGCAATTTAATCTTCTAGTTTTATGCAGAAGGTGGGAAACACCAGCAGGAGCTGTATTAGCGCCAGTATCTCCTCCTGCTGCAGCGAGAGACACCCCTTCAGCTCTGAGCATCGGTAACGAACACAAACAATGGAGAATGTGCTAAACACTGAAGGATCCGTGTGTTCCTGCTGTCTGAACTCCATGCTGCTTCCCAGCTGGCTAGAAAAGAGCCATGTAGCCTTGTCTCCTTCCTTACTGCCCCTCCCTTAGGACTTAGATGCTGCCCAGCTCTAAAGGGAAGCAGGACAAGGCAGGGGCAGCATCTGTGGCATCTCCAAATACGTACGTTTGTGCCGAGGTTTGAAGCGCCAGTGCTCTGGGCCGGCCCACATCGACAGAACTCGGGGACTGAAGTAAGAGTATTCCCCTGGTTTCATGGAGAGATGAAGGCACATGCTCCCGATGTCTCCTTCTCCAAAAGGAAGCGTTCTAGAAAGAGCAGACGTGCTGCTTAGTGAAACCCTTGGAGGGCAGAGATCTTGCTGTAACGCATTCCTGGATGTAAATTAGATTCCCCAGAGACGTCGGCGCTTGCTATCAAAGCAAAGCTACAGATTTTCAGTGATAATTTACCTCTTGCTCTCATGGACTGTTCCAAAGGAGTCGATGTTTTCTGTGAATTCCCCGATCTTGTCTACTACCGCGTTCCTCGGGGAATCCGAGTTGAAGTCGTTCTCTGGCAGGCTGGGAGCACAGTCGTCCGCATCGCTGTCGATCTCCGCATTGATATCGAACACCTGGTCGCTCTTCTTAAATTTATCCAACAGGGCTGACACCGACTATAAGAGAAGGCGGCAAAAAAATTAAATAAATAAATGCAGGATACCAGCGGCCCTGGAAGCGCGCCGCGCCGCTGCCCCGCGTATCTCAGAGGTCGCTTTGGAGGCTCAGGTGTGCCCCTCCCCGGCACGGAGCTGACAAACCTACCTCGTCGTGGGATTCGCTGTCCCACTTTGTAAACTGGAAACCAGCCAGCGAAGAGCAGATGAGGCGTTTTTCAACGCATTGCGCTAGCAGGGCTAGAGACAAGGAGAGCAAGGGAGAGAGATTAGGCGTAGGGTGAAGCAACCAGCAGGTAAAACAATTACCTAAAAGGAGGCTGGAGTGAGGCTGGTGCTGGTCTCTTCTCTCTAATTCCTAATGACAGGACAAGGGGAAATGGCCTCGAGTTGCATCAGGATAAGTTTAGGTTGGATATTGGGAGGAAGTTCTTTCCTGAATGAGTGGTGAGGCACTGGAACAGGCTGCGCCGCGAGGTGGGGGACTCGCAAACTGCCCAGGGAGGTGGTGGAGTCCCCAACCCTGGAGGGGTTTAAAAACAAAGTAGATCTGGCACTTGAGGCTGTGGTGTAGTGGTTGGGTGTGCTGGGATGAAGGTTGGACTGGATGATCTTCAGAGGTCCCTTCCAACCCCGGACATTCGGTGATTCTGTGAAGTGTTGGGCATCAAATCATTCTTAAAGCCATAGGTGTAGGCAGCCCTTCTTGCATGTAGGCTCATTTTTTAACAGAAAGCCAGAGTTCAGTTGCTACTCCAGCATGAGGGTGGGCATAATGCCGGGAATTTTATCAGAGCAGCAGGATTTTGTGGTATGTGCAAGCTCAAAACACTCCGAGAAGGTCAGTCCTCGACGCGGCACACGGTGTTCTCAACTGCTGCGCAGCTCAGACTGCGTACGCGCGCTGTGCCAGAGGTCAAGCGACGCGTCGCGATCTAAAACCTCACAAAGGTTCTGTTTTCCCAGCAAGCGACCTCAGCTCGAGTGAGATCAGAGCAATGGTGCCACAAGGTAGCCAAGCAGGGAACAAAAGTGCAAGACAAACCCGGCTGAGACTAAAATGAACCCGCCTGGGAGGTGGAAGGGATCAGAAGGTCTGGGAGGGCCCCTTGGCTTAGCGGTTACCAGCACTCACGCTTTAAATCCACCACTTTGACGGGATCGGAGTTTGGCAGCGTGAGCGTCTCCGAAGAAGGGAGAGGCACGATCTTGGAGTCAAAGAGGAGCTCGCTGTGCCAGCTTTGGGTCCGCAGGCCCGTGAGGAAAATGCCGGCTGTGCTGCATTCATCGAAAGAGGCGGCTGTTTTCCGGAACATGGGATCAACCTGCAGGTACGGAACGAAGCAGAGAATTGAGAGGAAGGAGGTGAAGCAGGAGACTTTGAAGGACAGATTCAATAGGAAGAATGACCCAGGCATCTTTTTTAAAAATTTTTTTTCAGTGAGGAGAGAGCTCTCACAGCTGCCTCACGCAGGAGGAATAGACGTGACTAGGAAGGACCTTGCTACAACAGCAGAATTCAGACGGGTGTGAACGTCAGAGCCCGAGAGCGGAATGCACAACAAGGAAAACAACAGCGATGAGAAAGATGAGGCGACATCTCCTTCCCTCCACAACGCAGCTGCCACAGCAGCCCCCCTCCACCCACCTCACATCTGCGATTCGCCTCCGACACGTTGATGTTATTCAAGTTCTGCTCGATGGTTTTGAATGAGTGTTTTTTCTTCGTCTGAGCTCTCTTGACAGCCTCAGGAGCTGGACTGTCTTCTAGAAGAAGGAAAAGATGAACAAGTTCCACTTAGCAAACTCGCCGAAATACCCTACGGAGGGATAGCACAACTTTTATCGCAGCTTGTACAACCACACACAAACCCGGTGGGCATGAAGTCACCCAGAGAGGGATCTATTAGCGCCAACCACTGATGTTTCATTGTCTGGATGTTGCATTTTTTTTTTCTCGACTCTATTTTATCTTATCAGCACGCTTTGGTTTCGAAGAACAGCAAAGAGCGGGGCAGGTCGTTCTTAGTGTTTCAGATTAGGCCACCTTCAGTTTGTGCTCAAATCTGATGGGCCCGATCCCTGTACGAGCAACAGATTCAGGTCCTCGCCTCAACCCTCGCAGCCCAATTAATCTGGGATTTGCCAGCCCTTGAGAAATGAAGTTAGCGGCGCTCTCCTAGATGCACGAAGCATTTCAAAACTCACGGCTTCCTGTTCTTACGGGAACGGCTTAACCGAAAACGAGCGAATGGCACACCTCCTCCTGGGCTCTCCACATTTTTCGTAGGGGCCGAGTCCTTGCCCAAACCTCCAAGAACTTTGTAGGTATCCGCATGGACCGCGTCCACGCGGACGGCGTAAATCTTCGCGCTGGCGTCGAGCGTGCCGGCCGCCACCTGATGGGGGGAACAAGGGACATGATTTTTAATCCTCTAGAAGGTGGAAACGCAGAAGGCGAACTGCAGACCTGAATTTCTGAGTGCTCTGTCTTACAAGTAAAACTGTGAACAACTGAGGAGGATTTATTCTAAAAACTACTGAAGACCAAGGAGTCAAGATGTGTCTCCCCAGGGATCGCACAGAACACTGAAGTTGCCAAGATTAAGTGACGGGAGAAGCTGAAAGGCGCAGATTTGCATCTGCCAAGAGACCTCCCTCTTCCACCTCTCCTTCATGCCTTCTTTTGGGTCATCCTCTTATTAACACTCTACTTTCCCAAATTACGAAGCCAAAAGAGGTGAAGAACTGCAGGAGATGCCAAGCGCCCTTTTCAATCACAGAAGGCCCGCGGAAGGTGAAGGACCGCCCACTGAAAACCTGCGTGCTGCTTCCCCTCGGTTTTGCCAACAAGAAAACAGCCAGCTCAGGCATTCCCTGAGACTGTGTTCAAACATCCTGGATTTGTTCATTCACCTGAGAATTCAGTTCTCCCTCCCAGGAACAGTCAACTATTACAGCGAGCAAGCCTTTGCCCTGGCAAGTCCTTATTCCGATCCATCCTGGATCAAAATTGGAGCGGGTGTTAGCCACACTAACTTTTTTTCTCCTCCAGCCTTTTGTAAGTGGGTGTAACACCCAGTACTTACCTCTGAAGCCTTACTTTTAAACAAGCTCTGACTCTGAAGGACCAAAACTGAAAGAATTCAGCCTTCCATTCCTACAGTACTAAAGGATTCATCACTAGTAGCTTCTGCGAGAAGTAGCAGGCGGTGGAGGTGACCAGCTCGGTTCCCTTCAGCATTATTTGAGGTTTTTTATTGACTAAACGCCAGTCAGAAGCAAAGGCACGGCCGTGACCAGGCGGTGATTCCTCTTACCTTAAAGTTCGTCAGTTCGGTGTCCTTCTGTTTCAGGATCTCGGTCATATAGTCGATCAGGTGTAAGCCAAAGGCGTTCTTCGTGGTGATTTTCTGAAACAAAGCACAGCTCGGAGCTGGCACCTGTCAAACCCTCCATCCCGCGGCGGGGGGTTTACAGCAGGACCGAGGGGACGCATGGGAGGGAAGCCCAGACCTGGCCAGAGGGCTTAGAAGAAGAATATCGG